AGGAGGTGTAATTTCATCAGTTATGCCAAAATGTGTCATCCTTGCACAGAGAAATAGTAATTTTGCACTTCATTCTACGAGCTTAAGAGTGGCTGCTGCTTTGATCTTGTATCAGCTCAGAAGGCAGGTGATGTGTCTGGGGAGGGCTTAGTGAAAAGCATATTTCATGATTGTTTTCTCTGTGGGTGTTTTGGGGTGGTTTTTTGAGGGTTTTTGGGGTGGTTTGGTTTAGTTTTGGGTTTTGTTGTGGTGGTTTGTTTGGCCGTTGGCTTCTGGTTTTTTTGCTTGTTTTTGTTTTTACAATTGTTATAATTTCTACTTAAATTTCCAGTCAGAAATTTAAGAAGGGTCATTTAAGCCTCTGGCCTTTATCACTGCATCCCTGAATTTGTGTCATTTCCAAAGCACTTTTAAGTTCTTGTGCCCCAAAGAAGTCAAATAAGAAACAGAACATAATTCAGTACCATTCCAAGTTTTATATTGTAAATTCAAAGGAGGTGAAGGGTTAGCACTGTAAAAGTGGTGTACAAAATGCAGTTTAAGTATTTTCTTGCTTTTTAGTGTAGTGCATACATCCCTTTCTGACTGTCATGTTTCCCCAGGTTTTTTTGGGACTGTTATTGTCAAAATAGAATTCTGCTAGAAGGAGCAGGTGGTGGGAGAAACTCAATGCAACAACACAAAAGAGCCAAACAAGCCTTAGCCTTTCTTTATTTTCCATTCATTTGCTGCTTAGTGATCTTGATCTTCTGCATGTTTGGAGATGGGTCCATCCTATCCTGGACATCAGATGTGTGAAGTAGAGCTAAAAAGTATAACTAGATGCTAAATAGGCTTTTAGTCTTGTTTGGATTTGTTTGTTTGATTTTGAGACACAAGGCCTGCTAGCCTAACTAAGGAGCAGTTGAATCTTAAAAGACTCATGAGAAAGTTTTTTATGGTTAACCCATTTTCACAAATCTTTTTTTAAATTTCTTCTGCCTAGTCTTCTCCCCAGATGTAATTTTCATAAATTTTTGTCTTACATCTAATAAGTCTTGTTCTTTTTTTTCCCCTTCTCATTTCCATTGCTTTACTCAATATAATCCATAACAGAGGAATGTGGCATTTGTTCGGTACCAGAAAACTCAGAAATTAAGAATATAAGAGTAGCCTAATAAGAATTGGATTTACTTCTTTCCATGTGTTTTTCTTTCTTTGCTCTCTGCTATTTCTAGCCTACCTATAATGTACTTTTCATCTTTGGGAAAATCTAACATACTTTGTTTACCAGTAAAAGTTTTCAGAGTGACCTTCTAGCACTGTGTGTGATTAGAAGCCTTTCTGAATCTATAGTGATCTGAGAAATGTGAATGTTGAATGTTTCTGTGGTGTTCCATCTTACCTAAAACAACCTAGATTTTCATGAATCAATTTTTTTGGCATTTTCTCAATAAGCAAATATTTTCGTGAGCATCTCTTTTTTTTTTTTTCCTAGTGCTGAATAATTTGTGTAAAAGTGATAGTGCTATCTTCACTCTATAAGCTGCTGACCAATTGATGAATGAACACAAGTAATTAGATTGTGAACACCTTTTCCTCCTATAACTTTTCATGTTTTTTCCCAAATCCATCTCAATGTTATATGCTAATGCTGTTTTGTAGTCTCTTGCATCTAACAGTGGGACTAGCATCTTAACCTAAAGCAAATGACACGCTTTCAAGTTGATAAAATCACTTCCTGACATTATTATTGTGACTCTGTGAGTAGCTGAAGCTAAGTAGACATTATCCTTGTGCTAACAGAAAGTGCAAATTTCCCATTGTTCAAGTAAGATACAGTTTATCATTCTTTATCAGGACCCTATGGATTGTGCTGAAACACTCATTGGCATTTCATTAACTCTGTAATTAAGGGTGAAATCAAATAGTTTAATTATTTTACTGAAGTCTGAAAAGAAGCTCTTAATAAAGATTTCCAGTACCCAATTCCCTTGCAGTGAGTTATGACACATCTAGCATGAAAACCTTCACACTTCACCCAGCTTTCATCAGGCAATGCCCTATCACCTTCCAGTGAATGGAGCCACTTCACCATTTCCCCAAAAACAGGAGTTGCACATATACAGTTGCTTTTCCACAGGAGTCTGAATCTTTTACTCACACTTTTCTTGTAACCTCTTTTCTGTTGGAGACTATCCCAGCCTACAAGCTATAAGGGATCTTTCTTTTCTTTCGTTGATTTTTTTTTTTTTAATCATAGCTAAAAGATAATTTCTCAAAACCATAGCTTGAAAAGGCATTTTTCTCTTTCTGAAATCTAATTCCGAAGGAGTTTGGACTCTGTAGTTCAAGCAGGGATTGTAATCCACATAATAAAAACATTTGCATGTTATGTCCAATTGATTAATTAGCTGAAAAGATCCTTGGGATGAAGCAGTCTTGGCTGACAGATAAAACCCTCCAATTTATGCATATCTCAAGGGATTGGGTGAGTTCACTTATTATCCTCATTTCTTAGCATTTTTCCTCATTAATAAAAGCTTGGGCTGCTTTCTACCTGCACAGAATACAACCTGTGCATAGGGTGGCACTTGGGCATTTAAGCATGTTATTCCCTGTGCCAGCATTTTTAAAAGTATGCTTGAAGTATTTCAAACACCTAACACTTGATAATGCATTATTTGTATTTTCATTTAATGAGGTTATTTAGGCATAAATTACAGGCTTGTATGGTTAAAAGGCTTATAGGACGTCACAGGATTAGCCAGCAAGCGGTGAATGACAGCGGCATTCACTTCAGCTGTGGCTCAAATAAAGTTGGTTTCCTAAGGCAAAGACTCATGAGTCTTTCAAATCCAGATGGAAATATGCTGGGAATAAGAGGGATCCAGTTCTATTGAATTTTGTTGAATCCACTTTCAGTTCTGGTTCTGCTGTATTTCCTAAGCACTTCCGTGATAAGACAGGGGAACTAATGTCAACTTTATTTTACAAAGATCTGAACTTCCAAGAGGATAACTGCCAAGGTCATGCAGGCAGCTTGTTGGCTAGAAAATAAAGCTTTGGGTGCCTTTTCTTTACATTTTTTAAATTTTTTTAATAGGCACAATGCAGTTTTCCATTTCCCACCAAAACTTGAGATCACTGTGGTTCTGGAGGTACCTTCTTCAGCCCCCATGAATGAGCAGCCTGGCCAGCTCCTCTCTCTGGTAGGGCTCTGGTGGTGCTAGAGCAGAGTTTCCTCACTGCTGCCCTGAGTTTCCTTGAAGAGCTGGGCCAAAATCAGGTGCCTGCCTGAGCATGGCCTTTGACAGCCTGCAGTGATGCCCTGCAGTTCAAAGCATGCTCAGGGCATCCTTGGGGTGTACTCTTGGCACCTTTAGAAATGTGTTTATTCAGGTCTCTGTAGAATAGAGAAGTGGGAGCTGACTGCTTCTGGTTCAAATCTAGGCATTGCCCAAGTGCAGCATTCCTCTTCCCACAGCTTTCCAAAGGCAGTAGAAGCTTTTTCAGAAGCCTTTCAGTCATGGAGGGGGAATGTGGAGAGTCACACGGTGGTGTATGGGTACAGGAGCTTTGCATGCACACAGAAACCCTGGTTTTACTGCACCAGCAAGAAAAATCCCTAAGGTCACACAACTGTGGCCTCCATCCTTGAGCGTTTCTTAAAAACCACTCCAAAATAAGCAACTTTCTAAGCCTGGTTTGTTAGCTTGTGAACAAGAGACAAACAGTGCACTGTGTGCTGCCCTTTGGACAACATAGGATGTGTTCAAAGTAGTTTCTGTTTCGGAGACTTAAAAGATTATTTTTCTTTTAGCCATGTTATGTGAAAACAGAAGCATGTTGCTTGCAGGGCCTCAGTAACCAGAATTCAAAAAATGTCTTTCAAGTCTGGGGGAAGAATACTTAGAAACATGTGAGACATCTCTGGATTTTACATTGCCCTGAGAAGATTCAGCCTGATTTAGCTAATTGCACTTTAAATTTAAATTTAACTTATTTTTTACAACAGATTCAGGTATCTTTTTTTTTCTGGAAAGAAATGCTAGTACCATGTCAAATATACTGGTTTTGCTTGGAGAGACTTTTGGGTTTTATCTGAAAGAAATCAGACTCCCTTAAAACGCTGATCTTCATTACAGTGAAGCATGCTGCTAGGAATACTGGGAAAGGTTAAAAACAGCAGTCTTGAGGCAAGCTGCTGATTGTTCATATTTGTGCAGAGAAAATATGGTTCCTTATTTACTAGATGCTTGCTCTGTGCTCATCCTAGTAAAAGATCCTCCTGCAGGCCTTAATACTGCTGCTATTTTACCTCCCCTAATGAATATTCAAAAGCTGCAGTCATTGAGGACTCAGGTGGCAAAAATAGTAAGATGATTGAAGCAAGCCTTGACATAAAAGCCTAAAAGTACATTTCCAACTACACGGCAATAATGCCGATTTCCCTTTCTGACCACGTAAATGAACAGTGCCAGAAAATCTCCCATGAATTAAATGCCTGTTTCACACACCAGTGTGATTGCATCTTTCTCTCTGTATGATGTGTTGTAATAAATATGTTTAAAAAAAAAAAAAAACGGGAAAAAATACAACAGGGCTTTCTGTAATCCTCTGTCACAAAATGTATTGGAATTGAAAAATCGTTATAAAGGACACACTGTTAAGATATGGCAATGCATGCATTGTTTTCTACATAATGCAGTCAGAGTCTCCATGGTAAAAAGAAATTTTTATTTTATTTTATTTTTTTTGTCACCATCAGCAGTTAACCTAAAGTAGGAGCTGCTCCATTTCATTATAGGTTAAATGGCTTACTACACAAAACTAGCTGAGAGACGTACAGCGCTAACACTGCATTTTTTTAGTAGCTTTTAGAAACGTGCTTGAAGATCAGTGAAGAAAAAACAATGCAGCATATGTTATTGTTCTGGAATTTTTTTTAATACAAAGCGCTCCTTTTCAGCATTCCCCCTTCAGTGGAGTCACTTAGACACTTCCAGCTGGTGGCAGGGGATACAGCCATAATACAGCTTTCTCTGTCCCAGCTGTCTTTTTCATTACGTTAAATGCATTACGATGGCTGCACTGCTTTACAAAGGCTCAGGTGCAGGAAGGTATAGGAAGAAATCTGCAACTATGTGTTTTTGTAGTGACTGCAAGCTCCTGCGAGATCTCTGAATCCTGAATGTGTTCCTGGCTCTGGTCACAGATCTCCTTCCAATCACTGGAACATTTGCTGTAAGGGCTGGCTAAAGGTGCCCGAGGAAATCACCTTTTACAAGGGAGCATTGTTGTAAAGGATTTTTAATGCATTATGGCTCACGCAGCATCACAGTTAAAGAAAAACAGGGATTTAGAAATAAATGCTGAGGAAGAAACTGAGAAAAAAAGAAAACACAGGAAAAGATCCCGGGATCGGAAGAAAAAGGTATCTAGATCTGTGCCAAATTCTGAACAGGGGTTCTTTTGTTTTAATTTTCTTACCTTGCAATTGAAGTATTAAAAGCTTGCTCTTGCCTGTAACTTGGTAGCTGTGGGAGTAATTTGCTAACATTGTAAAATGTCATTTGTAACCACGGCTGTGGGGTTTGCAAAGCAATTGAATGTTTAATTGGATATTAGTTGATTGCGGTGATGATGCAGAAGGTGTGCATGCGTTTCCCACTTATGTTACTGTGACATGAAAACTGTCTGTGAGTTGAAAGTAGTTTGTAACCATCATGTGGGGTTTAATGCTGAGCTTTCTCGTAGGTTTTATAGCAAAGCATAGCATAATAGTTTAGTCTTACATGCAGGTTACTTAAAAGGGATGTGTGTAGAGGCAGTTTTTTTTTTCTTTGTGTTGGGACTGTGTCACATGTTTGGCTTCTGAAACATCCATTTTTGGGATAATGTTACAGAAATAAGGTGTTTCAGTGTTTCTGTTTTTTCCTTAACAGTGAGCTGTTTAACAGAATTGAGCTGTAACAGTCTGGTACTAGCAACTTTCTTTTGTTAGGAAGATACGTGGCTGAGATTACAGAGCCTGGTTTTTCACTGCTGTAGATTTTTCTTAGCTGCAGAAAACCCTTCAGCAAACTAGGATCTGAAAAATTCAGTAGGCACTGCATTGCTCATTGTTCAGGTCAGGAGCCTCTGTGTGATTCCAGGCTTACTGTTCCTCTCTAAGGTATAAAGCAAAATAGTTATGGTTTGTGGCATAATGACAGATAAAGAGGCCAGCTACTTTGGCAGCTCTGAGGCTGTGTCCTTATAAATGACACCTTGTACTCTGCTCCATGGAAATAAGGCCCTGCCACAATTTCTTGTCTTTGGCTGCATTTCATGATAATTTTTTTCAAGAACATATCAAGGAGCCAGCTGCCTTTAGAGAAACCTGGGCATGTAGTATTTCTGTGTGCCTTTGTGAAATCCCCCTAAGGGGGGGATTGGGTAATCTTCATATGCTCAGAGGAGCGGTGCATGTGCTTCCCAAATGACATGTAGATTTCCTCTAACATATGTGCATCTTTTGCTTGGGCGAGAGTCAGCATTTCCCTGCCCTTTTCTCTTTTCCCTCTGCTGTGGCAGTCCTACACCTAATGAAAGGCACTGAGAAACCCACTGCCTTCTGTTCCAGCCTGCATGTTGGGAGACTCTTAACATGCTGCAGTACATTTGCTGCAGCCAGCTACACTGGAGGCATTTTCTCTGTGTCAATGTATAGGTTCTCCTGAATCATCTTCCAGGATAAAGGGCAGTATGAAGATAAGTTTCTGTCTTTGAGGTGAATTTTGAGGTGCTGCTGTTTGAAAGCAGCCTGAAATAGTGATGTTTTTCTTGCTGCTGCTTAGGTTATGTGCAGGTTTGTAACGTTGGTGTCAGGGTGGGTTTGCCCCCAGCTGAAAACAGCCACAGCAGTAAGGAATTAATTGTAGGAGCTGTCCCCTCAGCCCATATTTACCTATGGCTTGTGAGCTAAAATGTAAAGTCTCTCAGCTGAATCTACTCATGCTGCAGGGAGCCCACGTTGTTCTTGATGTGCTCAAGTTTAACAATAGCATGCCCAACCAGATCCATGCACTGTCTTTGTGTAAGGCAGCTTCCTCACAGCTCAGAATTAGAACAATATAGAAGGGATATGGCAGAGAGAGGCTCTTGATTCAGTGAGGTGAGACAATTGCTTTGTGGGCAAAAATGCTTTATTGTTTATACAACACTGCTGTAGAGAGGAAATCTCTCAGCAGCCAGAGTGGCACATGGATAAATATCTGCCTATTAATCTCAAATATATGGGTTTCTCTCTGTGTTTTATTTCTGCATCTTAAGAATAAGAGAAAATAGAGAGCTTTTGCTCCACCAAATGCTTTTTTTTTTTTTTTTTTTGTTCTCCCCCCCTTTGGAATTTGGTAGCTTATTCCAGTTTCTTTCTGAGTTCCCTTAGGACTCTGCAGATTCAGGACAGGTAGAGGCCCTCCCTAGTAGGAGAACAGAGCAAAACCCAGCAATTGCTTCACTTAACTCTCATGCATTTGGGCATCATTGCCATGTCAAAGCCATGGTTTTGTTACCCAGTACATAGGGCGTAGGAAGTCCAATAATTTGGTTTGCCATTTTGTGCTTTCCTGGCTATTTAAAACATTTTCCCCCCAAATTTTCCACTATGAGTAGTGAGTCACTTCTTGTTCCTCTGCACCACCCACAAGCAGGCAGTACTCGGGGATTTTTTCGTTGATCACATGATACTGCACAAAGCTTACCCTTTGCTTAAGCAGCATGCAGAAATATCCTTTAGAGCCTTCCAATCACTTTGGAACAACAAAGAATGCTAATGTTTCTGGATAATTTATACAGTAAAGAGCCCAAGGCAACCAATGGTTAGAAAGTGAGGCTGGTGGGATCAGCCAGTGTCTTAGTCCTGTGTGATACTAGCAACAGTCATGCTAATTTATGTTCCTGTTTAGTTGGAGGATGGCAGTCTGAGGGGAATATTTCACTGCTTTTGACTGGTTAAGCAATTTACAGTGCATTAACATTCCTGTGAAGGCTTGCTTTGAGACTTGGATGAGAGAAACGACCTTTTAAAACACACACAGAACAACAACCTGCGTTTTTTCCCATCCCATTTAATTTCAAGGTGAGATATTTTCAAATTGCCCCTCTTTGCTCTGTGGAGAGGCTGTGCTTCTGTGCCCTATGTCCCCACCACACTCCTTCCGTTTGCTTGCATTCAGGACATTGCAGGCCTTTGCTGAAGGGTCTCAAAGGCTCAGAGCTTACCTGGCTTAACTCAGGCAAGAGAAAGGGAGAGGGCCAGCAAGTGAAGGATCTGCATTGTACAGGTTTCCCATTTATTCTGTTCAAGTTCATATTACAGCTTCATACAGCTCTGCCTCTGGATGGTTGTGCAGTGTCCTGCACTGAAAATAGTTTGAGTACATCCAAGGGCAGACCTGAGCCTTTAGTGGTATCACAGAACAAGGCAAACCACTCTTAAAAATAAGTGATTGATAGGATAGCTTGCTTGATACGTGCCAGTGCAGCTCTGCCATGTGTAGTTTTGTTTGTGAAAACTAGAAAATGTTTATCCTATAATAATGTCTGGAAAGAAATTGGTTGCTTAGTCAGTGCCTTTCCTAAAATAAAGGTGAAACCTCTGAAGGGTTTTTTGTGTGCTCTGTTGGGTACATATCAGAAGAGAAGGACAGGTCTTGGCACACAGTCAATGATTTATGTTTTATACAATATTTAGTAGGACTGAAGTGATTTCCATTTACGTGTAGTGCTCAGGAGCACTTGTGTTCTTTGGGAGCACAGAATAATTTGATCATAATGCAAAGCCTGGCTGCTGCTGTCCCTGAGATGTTAAAGGCTGTTGCTGTCACAGCCTCTGCTGCTGCAAACTTGTGGGCAGCAGGGAAAGTAATCCATGTGAATGTCACAAATCCTGCTAATTTCATCATAAGGCTCACTGTGTTGAAAGGTTTTCCTAAGCTCTCAGGTATGCTGCAAAAATTGCCTTGCAGTTTCCTAATGGAAATGAGTGGAAATGCTGTGTCAGGAATGATCAGCCTGTAGGTGTTGCAGCTGCTTTGAGGAGCTTGTGCATCCTCTGGGCTGAGCTCTGCTGCCAGCTCCAAGGGCCTGGGAGGGATGGCTTGGGCTGCCCAGCCCTGCAGAGCTGGGAGCTCCTCCAGGGGCAGTAGGACCAGGGAGGGCATCCTCATATCCCACTGGGGGAATCCCACTTTATCCTTTCCCCTCAGCGCTCCTGGGGCTGTCAAACGTTTTCCAGATCTCTGCCACGTGAAGGTTTCAGTGCAAATGGCAATTTTCATGTGCAAACAAGTCTGCCAGTTACCAGGTAAAGCTTTAAACTCAGATAATAAGTGAAAATCCCCATTATTTTTTATTTCAAGTAATTTCATTATTTTTAAATAAATCTCTGTCAGAGATCTGTTTCCTGGCTTCTGAACAGCTGGACTTGAATGTTGTAGAATCTAGATATGTTGAGTATAAGTGATTGTTCTTTCTCTCATTTGTGTTAAAGCACAAACCAGGCAGATGTTGTTTTAACATCTGGGAACGTGACCTATAGTAAGGGAAAAGATTGTGTAGATTAAGGGTCTGAAAGAAAAATTGCTAAGTCAGTGATCTTTTCTACGTGTGAGAAAAATTTCAGTCACATCCTTGATTTTGGACATGATGCTCTGTCAGAGGCAAATCAAATAAAATAGAAGCGTATTTCTGATAGATGATATGGGGCACTGGTGGATGGGATATCTACCAACAATGCTGAATTCTTACAGCATGGAGCTTGGTGGTGAAAGAGTCCTTCTATTCAGCTGGAAAAACAATTCCCTCTTTGAAGATGACCCCTAAAGGAATGAAACTATTCCATTGTGTTGTGTGGGGAGCACTACAGCATCATTTGAAGTGGGCACTGCTCAGCGTTACTCCGTTGTTTATAAACCCAGAAAAAATTTTGCGCTGTTACATTTTTTATTTAGTGAGGTTTGGAACATTTACCTTTTCCTTTTCACCTTCCTGGTGCCTCGGGGTTGTGCTGTCACAAGGGATGGCCATTAGTCACTGTGCAAGTGTCAGTTTGGGTTAAAACCTGTGTTGTGCCTAATGCTTCCAGCTTGTGGTGGGAGGGGATGGGCAAGAGCAGGGAGGACCAACCGTGGACAGCCTGACTGTTAGAGGGAGGTGGCTGCACAGCTGGATTTACATCTGGACTCTCAGGCAGTGTAAATCAATACTGCTGCTACTGCCTGCTTGGTGTTAGCACACAGTCTTTTATCCTTCTGGTTTTTCCGCCCAGGCTGGGTTGGATTTTTGGTGGGCTTTGTGTTTTGGGGTGTTTTTTTTTTAATTGAGAGTTGAGGGAAGGGGAAAATGGGATGCTCTGGAAAGCAAAAGGAAGTTCGAAGATGGTTAGTGAAC